ACCGCCACCAGGCAGGACAGAATATTTATATGCAAATTAGCATGTCTAGAGTGTACAAGTCTTACAAATCAATAAGGAAAAATCTACTTGGGGGGACGAGGAGATGGGTGGGGGGTAAAGTGTGTTTGTGCTAGCATGAAGACCTGAGTTTAGACTCCAACACCATTTAAAAGCTGGTGGTGCTTGCCTGTAATCCCAAGGCTGAAAGGACAGAGATAGGCCGATTCCCAAGGCTAGAAAGCCATCCAGTCTTGTTGACATGTCAAGCTTCCGGTTCAATGAGAGACCCTTTCTCATAAATTAAAGAAAAGAGCAGTAGACAAAGATGTTCAAAGTCAGTCTCTGGCCTCCACAGGCACACAGGTGAGCACAGCCACCCACAGACACCATGCATGCACCACCCAGAAAAACTGTAATAATAATAACGATAGTAATAATAATAATAATAATAATAATAAACCACTCAGTTTAAAATAACAGCAAGCAACAACAAAACCACAAAAGAACATTGGTGGTAGTACACACGTGCGATCCCAGAGACTGGGAGGCTGACAAGAGGGTCTCAAGATGGAGTCCAGTAGTGGGGACACACTCTTTCTCTCAAACAAACAAACAAAAAGTCTAATTAAAAAAATGATGACGACAAGATTGAAATAGTCACCACGATAAAAGATGCGTGGCTAAGAGGAACCCAGTGAAATACTTAATAAACTAGTTCAAGTCAGCAGTGAGACACCACTTCATGTTAAATTGAACTGTTTAGCATAAAGCTGCTCCTGCATTTCCTAAATCTGGTCTAAAGATTTCTCTATGCGTGCCAAACCACAGCCTAACTTGACTGCAAATGGACTCACTGTTGTAAGGGTGTCAACCAATCAAAGGGGAAGGAGGCTGTCCAATTGTTCAAACCTGTGTTCAAACGACACAGATGCGGGAGAGAACCACTCGGTGGTCTGTGTGCACCACTTCCGTTTTCTGTATGCCGTTTCCTTCTAGCCGGCTATAAATATAACCCACTGATGCGGATGGGGCTTTCGAATCTTTTTTTTTTTTTTTTTTTTAGGATGCTGAGATGGATTACAGCTGCAAGCCACACCCTGCTAGAACTGTAATTTTCAAACCCTGTTTTCCTGGAACACACAGTCCTCTGTTTGTAAGGCCAAAGATGCCCCGAGGTCCATCTGATCCTTTGAGCAGGAGGGGGAGAAATGCCAGCTTCCCCTCAGAAGACAGCAACAGCAGCATGAGGGGTTGAGAGCTAGATAACCATGAGGAATGGTCCCCAGGAGGAACACAGAACCACAGAATAAGGCAGTCCTGAGGACTCTATCTTGACGGGTGGTGAGGTGTTGGGGTTGTGCACTTTATTAGTACCTTAAATTGACTTGGCTTGATTGGTCAATAAAAATAAACCTAGAAGTGTGGTGGGGAAGCAGATTTTCCTTGGGGAGCCTGAAAAACAAGACTTCGACCAGAGCTAATTGGAGGCATCTACCCAGGATTCTTTTTTGAAAGGCTGCCCTCTGGTGGAAATTTGCTGAACTTCTTTTCTTGCTCCCTTGTGCTGGAGACCCAAAGCCCATGATTCCTCTAATGAACTTCGTTAAGCTAAGAACCCCAATTCTATTTCACTATCTTTCCATGCTTTTCTGAGATAACTGGGTTTGAAATGAAACACTTTGACATTTGCTTCTGTGGTTTAGAGCTTTTCTACACAAAACTACATTATTTGGTCTTCCCAAGATTTGCAAAAATCGACACCAATTTAACATTGTTTAATTAAATGCCAAAAAAAAAAAAAAAAAGTGAAGCTACAAGCTGTCGGGTACCTCCTCAAGCCTCGTGGCTGGGGAGGAGGAAGGGGGCCGACGACCCACACCAGGTGAAGGATGAAACTTCTTGCAGGCCCTGGGTCAAAACCTCCAGGGTCTGACCTCATGGTTTATTCTTCTTACACATTTAAACACAGTAAAATATTTGAAAAAGGTTTCCACGTGACAGTTTTCACAACAAAGCTTTAGGCATAGCTACACTGAAACTCCCTAGCAAGGTAACAGAGCACCTGTGACTTCTACGATAAGGATGAGTTCTATTGGCTGATAAACAGAGCTCAGGGCAGGGCCTGGGGGGCGGGCGGGGATCTGTAAAAGCATAAGGATAGATTCTATTGGTGGAGGATGCAAAGTAGGTGGAGCCTCCTTTATAGGATTGAGTTCTATTTACTGAGTGGCAAAGCCCAGGGTTAGAGCCTGAACCATTCTCAGGATATTGGGGTGGAGTCAGGCGAGGATTGGCTCCTAACACAAGAGCAAAGGATCACCAGGTTGTTTGACCACAGCACTCCAGGAATCACGCACCATCATTTCCTTCTGTTGAAGAAAACAGGCCTGCATGATTGACGGTCCTGGTTTCTCTAATGTGTACTCTAAACCGTGCTCCCTACGCCAAGCATCTTAGCCAACCTTATGATTGAGAAAACAGGAAACCATCACATCTCACTTTCTTGAATGCAATCTCAGTTTTCAATTCATGTGGGCTCCAACTCACAATCCTCCTGCCTCAGCCACTCAAGTGGTGATATTACAGGTGTGTACCCCATGCTTTTGAAGAATCAGCAATGTCCCATTCCTACCCCCTCAGTGCTGGTGGTGGAACCCATGACCTCACACTTGCCAGTCAAGCACTCTGCCGTTGACTCGTTGACGTTCAGTCTACATGATAGCACAGTGGAAATGTATGGCTGATTTAGTCAGGAGCCCTTTCCTTCAAGGAGAGGGCATCTCCAGCTTTGTGTCAACACATACCGCCAGGCAGGAACAACTGGAGGAAGCTGACCTCAGGGCTCCTGGAGGGTGTCGGCCGTGGCATACTGATGTTTTTGCTCCGCCTCAAGCCACCCCTGGACCATGTGAATCAGAATCTCCACACGGAGCCAGAAGCCAGGAATTGTACCCTTTGATAAGAAACTGTTCAGGTCAGCCTCATAGCACAGAGGGAGTCCAGTCCCCTCCTTCTGAATGAGGAAAGAGATGTCCAGGAGCCAGGGCTGCTTGACCAAGGCCACCACCGCAGGAAGTAGGGACACTGATTAGACTGTGAAAGCTAGAAAGCCTCAAAGTTGCTTTTGGATTATTGTCTATTTAACAAGCCCGGCCTTGAACTCATGATCCTCTGCCAGAATGCAGAGGTTACAAGGGTGCGCCACTCTACCTGACCTGGTTTTCGATTTCTGAGCCAGGTTTTCTGTGGTTCTATGATGTTATAGTTGGTCAGGCCTAGAGGTGAAAAAAAAAAAAAAGACCATTTTCCTCAGAGGCACTTACTGAGTCCCCTCTCTGTTCTTTTCTGCCCCCTCCCCGACTCTCACCCAGCCTCACTTTTTACTGTCTCCTAAGTGAAAAGAGATCTCCTTTGAATATGCCACCCAAGCCTGGCCTCCCTGAGCATGTCCCATTCTTTATGTTGTAGAAATGAACCAAAGATGGATTTTGTGTGCTGGTACCTACATGGCTGGTTTTTTTCAGAGCAAGCCAAGAGCAGTAAACCCCAGTCAATACAAACTCAAAGGTTTGCACATCCTGTTGTTTTAAATATAGGCCAGATAATCAGGTGTTTGTCCAATAAAAGCCCATCTGCTACCAAGATACAGATCCCATGAAACCCAATATCTTTATGGCAAGGATTAAACCCTGTGCAAAATGTTGTTTCCCTCTGAATCAGAGTCTGAATCAGAGATTCCCTGCTGAGTCTCTGGGACATGTTCTCTAGGCATGGAAACCCCTCTTCAACTCCCATCTACCCCGGGGGTTCTTTTACTCTCTTCCCCTTCTGTGTGGGATCTCACCTCCATCAGGTTTGGGCCGATCCTGGTGGTGAGGGACCACCTTGAAAACTGAAAGAGCCTAGCTCATTAAAGCTCATGAGTGCTACCGCCACCTGGCGGTCGTGTTTTCCTTGCTCGGCTCCCCACTTTTCCAGGGTTTATGAGCTCCTTCAAAATTTGGCTGGTCTGAACCCAGTCTATGCAGATTTGTTGGATGACCTAATCCATGAATTCCTGTTGATGTGTGGAGTGGCTAATTTCAAATAGCTACTATTCATGAGATACTCACGTATATATGTACGAGACAGAAACCCTTGGATGTGCTGGGCTGACGTTTCTGCAGATGGTGTTGGCCTAAAGCTTGCCCTTCAGAATTTAAGGAACACCTGAGGTCTAACTAAGGCAGTAAGAGGGGGAGGTTTTGGTATGGTCATGAGCTAGAGGCCTGGGGAGAAAGGAGAAGGCTGAATTTATAATGACACTAACCATGTTGGTAAGTGTGTTAGAGCTTAAACATGGCATGGCTGCAGTTTGGAAAAGCAGTGCTTCTCCTCTCCTCCCCTCCCCTCTCCTCTCCTTCCTCTCCTCCCCTTCCCTCCCCTCCCCTCTCTTCTTCCTTCCTTCCTCCCCCCGCTTTTTTTTCAAGACATTGTTTCTCTGTGTAGCTCTGACTGTCCTGGAACTTGCTCTGTAGACTAGGCTGGCCTTGAACTCAGAGATCTGCCTGCCTCTGCCCTTGAGTGCTGGTATTAAAGGCCTGCACCACCACACCAGTTGAAAGCAGTGCCTTTCAAACTTTAGCCTGTGTGGTTTACTTGAGGGTCTGGTTAAGGTGAGCTCCTAAGCTAGGAAGTCTGGTGTGAAACCCAGGAACCTACATTTTATCACCAAGTGATGCTGCTGCTAATTGTGGGTCATACTTGAAGCAAGGAAGCTTTGAAGTAGAGTCCTTGAGCACTGACTCCTCCAGGACTGATAATAGCAACCGTATTACTACTCATCAGGGAAGGGTATTGCAAAGGCTTTTATTTACACAGAGAGATGGGAAAACTGAACTCCTGAGAGTTTTAACTAGCTCACCCTGAGCACACATGGTAAACAGGAGATTAAAACATGACCACAGGTTCACAAGACTCAGTGGAGTGTTTGGTTCCCTCTTTGTTGATCATTAACTTGTTAGCTGCTATTTGACCTGGGAGTATTTGAGCTTTAATGACTTTTGAGCCAATGTCTATTAAGATCCATCTATTATGTCGGGTGAAGCTGGCTGTGGTTCACTTGTCATCTTTGCCATTGTGGAGTACGGAGTTGGGTGCCAATCTGATACTTGCATCTTTATTCATCCATGACAGGCATTCGGGTTGTTTTCATTTGGTCACTTGGGGGTTCATGGTGGACAACAACAGTCTATAGCTTATTATAGTCAAGGGTGTTTGGTACCCTGTTACCCAGGAAGTGAGAATCAATGAGGAAGAAGGCTTTCAGAGAGGAGACAACTGTTCTGTAGCCATAGAATTAAAAAGATCCCCTGGCCTCCCCATTTCCCCAGCACCCTATGCCTTAAGCCTGGGCACATGGTCACAACCAACAAAGTAGACATTTTCAGTGTTTTATTGTAAAATACAGCTAAAGTCACAAAGAGGAGTAAGAAACTTTCCACCCGGTGCGTATAACACATATTCACTGAGTGCCCGCCAAGAGCCAAAACTGTGCTCAGCTCTGTAGGGACCCAACACACACACACACACACACACACACACACACGCACACGCACACGCACACACACGATGCTCCCTGATCCTCAGAGCTCACAGTCTGGCAGAGAAAACAGGCATATCTACTTCCACACAAATGTCAAGGTTGGAAGTGCTAAAATGGTTAAGAAATAATCAGTGGATTCATTCACCACAGCAGGAAGGGCCTGAGAGATACTTCTGCAGGCAACTGTGGAAAGATTGGAGTGGAGATGGCATTTGGATTGGACAGAGGGATTCAGATTGTTGGAAATTTCAGAAAAAAAGAAAAAGAAAAAAAGGATTATGGGGATAATATAGTCTACTAAATTTAAAATTTTCACTTTAGGGCATCACACAAAGAAGGAAAAGAGGAAAGCCTACTATCTATTTCTCCATGCATACCATGATTTCACAAATGTAAGAACATCTAATCCCTAGTCCCTCTCAGAAAGGACATCACCTCCACAAGAAGAACTGTCCCCCACATGGAATAAGGCTGGCCTAATAAAATAATTACGAGATCCTTATTTTCTGTTTTCTAAATCCTTAAAACCTTCCCCGTGAGATGGAAGCATAGTTCGGTGGTAGGGTACATACTTAGTATACGTGAGGCCCTGGTGGGTTTCATTCCAAGCACCCAAAACAAAATGAATAAAAACCTTCTCCACAGACAAGTACAGGTTTATAAAACAAGGTAAGGGAGCCACTTGAGGGGTGATGTCAGGTGACTTGATTGGCCTGGGCTGTGGATATGTAGGACGATGAAAGAAAAGGAGAGTATTATTGCAAAATAAAAATAAAAAAAATTAAAAAAAAAAAGGAAAGGAGAGTGTGGGGAGCAGAGGCACCTAGGCCAAGCAAGTGGTCTAGAATTCACTCAGAGGGCAGAGGCAATGAGAAAGGGTTTTGAGCAAGGGCCTGTTTGAAAGATAATTCTGGAAGCATCATGGGGATTGGGTCAGCCAACAGGCTGAAGGCAGAAATCTGTCATCAGGATTCTTCTCCCTCCTTCTACTGTACACCCTGGAAAGGTTGATCTTCAGGCTCTAACGATGACCAGAGTGAGGAGGCAGTTGGTGGAGTTATTGATGGCCTGGGAGTGGGGAAGGATAGATCTGGGCAGTACTATTGGTCCTCCTGGAAGTAGAACTTTGTGACTGTGAGGGGCTCTTCGGGTCTGTTGGTGAGGCTGACGGGCCGATCAGCCTCTAGTGCTGTGCAGAGGAACCAGCCTGGACATGCGGCTGACTCAAAGCTGGTGGTGGGACCTTTCTCTGAGCGGATGAAGGTGAAGCGTTTGTCTTCTTCCTTGGTCTTGCTCAGATCCGTGATGTTAATGTTCTGGAAGTCAAGAAATAATCCTGTGATTTCTGGGGGCCCAGAAAGTCCTGGTTGTCTATCTCTATACCTCTCCTCAGGCTGTCACCCCCTGATGACAGAGAAATGAACCTTGGAGACCTGGCCAAAGAACACAGGCTCCAGATTTCTTAAGATCACACAAATAGAAGGGGTTGTCTTGTCATCTCTTGATTTGAAAATCTCATCACTGTGACCATGGTAAAGTAAGTCTAGCAAATACATGGCCCCATCAACAGGGACTAAGGCCAGAGAGGCAGTGATCCCTTAGGCTCTGATTCTTTCAAGGCAAGAGGGCTGTAAAGAAGGGGTAGAAGGTCTCAAAGCCCATAGGATGTGTTATATGAGATACCCTGGCCATCCTTATTATATTTGGGATAGTCACTCCTCTCCACCCACCCCCCAAAAGGTGGTCCTGTCCATTGGTAAGGGTTAGTGACAAACTCAAGGTTGTGGCTACTTGCAGTTAGGTTAAAAGTTTGTCCAGCTAGCCCTCGAGATAATGTTTGAACAGGTCATTACTATTGGGTAGGTCAAGAAGTGACACAGTTCTGTGTGGGATGCCAGCGAGTAGCATAGATAATGATTGGAGGCACATGGTCTTGAGTGCAGATCTTGCTAGAAGAAGGTAGGTCCAAGTGGGTTAGGAGGCCCAGCACAAAACCCATGGGTGGTTCAGATGCTGTGATAGTATCATAGAGGTGGTCCTCCATGAAAAATGTCTCCTCCTAAAGTTTATATCCTTGTGTGGTGCCTTTCTACAATGAGTCCATATCAACCATGTCACAGGCTTTTGCCAATGGACTCGTGTAAGCCCAAGTTTAAGTAGCACTTTCATATTGAAGCCCATCTTTCTGGAATCCTCTCTCATTCAGGTTGGCTTCCACACAACAAGGAAGTTCAGGGTATCTACTGAATGCTAAGTAACAGAAAGGATGGTTTAGAGGATGAGAAAGCACCTTGGACACTCAATAGCAACAGAGAACATTGTGGAAATTACTTCAGGAGTGACCCCCAGATATTACTCTCTGAGGAACCAAGCACCTCCCTCATCTGTGCACACACACATGGTCATGAGAACCGCCTGTGGTTGTCATAAGCCATTGAGTTTTATAATGGTTTGATAGCTAACCCAGATTCTTACCTCTAGCTGGAGCTTGATTTCATCTCCAGACTTGACACAAGACAGGCATATCTTCCCACCATGGATCCCCAAGAATACATTGTGAAGGTCAGTAGTCACCATGTCTATCTTTTCTGGAGAAGAGCAGAGGGTGGAGTTAGAAAGAGAGAAGAGGAGGCAGGAGTGAGGAAGAGCTTGTGGGTATTTCCTGTCTCCTCTTAACTACAATTTTAAGGTCAGAAGGTCAGGAAGGCTCTATCTTTCTAGATACAAGAGATCCAACTAAACACTACCTAGTTATCCCTAAGGACCAACCTCCTAGATTCTGTCCATACTGTCCCAACCTTCCTTTACTTTCTCCAGGCAACCTGTCCTCCTGATCAACAGACATGCTGTTAATAGACAGGGACACAAAGCTCACAAGGCTGGTGAGCAGGCTCCAGGAAGCCTGGGGACTTGCAGTCCACCTTTCCCACCTGCTACTGGGCAGCAGTAGAAAACCCATCTTCTCTCTACTTGAGCATGTTCGTGGAAGAATTACTAGGTGATTAGAAAGACAGGAAAAACCAGTCTTAGAACTGCTGAGTAAGACAGGAAAGCAGAGAACGGGCTTGGGGAATACTGAGGAGATAAGGGTAATGCCTCTCTGAATCTCAAACAGAGATACGGGAACTTTAAACTCCAGTGCTAAAGGGAAATCAAATTCTGTCAGCTCACTGCCCTAATTTTTCTAAAAGAAAAACGGAAGAATCTGTGAGTGATGCTCCTCCAAGTTCAACTAGTTTTGTCCCAAGTATTGATGGGTGCATGTTGAAGGTGGTATCCAAAATAAAGTATATTCTTCAGCCATGTACACGGTGTATTAGCCTACAGCGAGGCTAGGGTTTGAATAACAGGAACATGGATGGTCTACCAGCACAGGACTAAGGAAGTGCAGCTGTGGCTCCTGGCCTCTGTTCCCCCAGCTGTGTCCCCAGGGCATTGGGACTCAGGCTCTACATTTTTTCACTCTTGAGGCCACTCCCATATATACCCTCTGGTGGTCATGACTCTCATTTCAAACTCAACAGAAATGAGGATGTCCCACCTACAGCCTGAGGAGCAGGGCAGAGTCACTCCACGCCCACATTACATTAGCTTCCCAGTTATCCACTCACCTTCTAATCTGGTATTTGGTCCTTGTAAGTAGCCGGCAATGAGTTGGTTGTTCCTCAGATAGAAGGTCTTCTGGTTGATATCCCAGATTCTGAAAAGCAAAACGGCCTAGCTGTAAAAGGCAGTACAGCACTGTGTCATCTAATTTACATCTCGATCTGCTGGAAGTATGGTCCTTAGCGAGTTCATAGTACAGATGAGAAGATTCCAAGCCAATACCACATAAGAGATGGGTCCATCTCTCACAGCTGGTGAACAGAAAACCTCTTCTTCTTGCTCCTCACCCCGGAATCCCAGCACAGACACCCGCTGCTTCAGCAGAATTTTCTATAGAGTATCACCATCTGATAGAATCTCAGGCAATGCAAACACATCCTATATTCACCCTACTCAATAGGGGAGCTGCCAGCTACATGACTTTCTTCTATTTTCATGCACTTGTGTGTAAATTTAGATGGCCACTTGAAACTGGTGGCTACATCATAGTATTACGAGTTCAGGGGTTAGACTACATTGCAGCCAAGCTACTCTGAGTCTCAGGCCTGGAAGTCTGTAACTAGAACTTTTACTTGTCTTGCCAATAACCTGCTCTGACTCTAGCAGGGACAGCTGTTCCAGGGAACAAGTTAGCTTCCTCTCTAGTTCACCCAGTGGCCTGTTGGTCACTCCTTGTCTTCTTGGTGAAGGGCTCCCCAGCTGTGAGATGTGTGATATGAGTGCCCTAGTGATATGACCTTGACTCTGTACATCATTTCTTTACCTGTCAGGGGAGCTGACAGGGCTCCTTGGGGAGCTTGGAGCAGCCCAGGAGCTCAGGGCGGATGACAGGCCAAGTCCCCTGCATGGGGAGGAGTATTTGAGCCTTTGCTCCTACGGTGAGCTTCCGTAGCCTTGCTAAAAGGGTTCTGGGGCCCTCCGAGGGGCTGCTACGAGGATGGAGGGGGAAACCTCACGAAGCAGACCATTCCTGGATCTGTGGGACAGACTTGCCTTGGGATGGATGCACACACTCCCAGCCAGACTCAGCCTCCAGCTGTGGTTCCAAAGCAGACAGGGCAAAGGGGAAGTGACTCAACACAGACTTCATTCTCAGGAAGGATCAAGGACAGATTGTATGCACCAACAATCTCTTTATTTATTTATTTTTAATTAAAATAAAGGCCTGCCATTTTTACTATAAGGTTGATGATATCTCCCAAGGCTCTTGATCCAATTTTAAAACTCAAGTCACTCGGACACTGTACAGTTCTCAGAGCACATGTCTCAGAACATGGTTACAGTATCACTCATGTATTTAATTTTCACAACCCTGTAAGGCACACAAGGGATTATTATTAAACCAGTATCATGTCACAGATAAGGAAACTGGGGACTCCGAAGAGAGATAATTTCTGAGCCTTGTGTCTTGCTGCAGCATTCCTCTTTGCTAGATCCCAAAGCTAGTATCATTCTTGGGGGCCTTTTGTTCTGTCACTGAACACCTCAGTGTCTGGGAGAGTAAGCACAGTTGACTGCCCTGTTGTCAAAACATAAGCCTTAAAGACTATTGGTGTAGCAAGCTATTCTTGAATCAAGGATATATATCCTTTTCCATCCGGTCCCTCAGATCCAGTGCCCTGGACAGATGGCATATGTCTCTAGGCAACCCTGTGTCTTCGGAAGACTTACCTGAAGGCTTGCATCTTGGAGGGTCTTCTCCCAGAAGGGCGGCAGGCTGCCTCTGAATGGAACAGAAGGAAGAGAAGGAGAGAGATTAGGTGACTGTACCGTCCCCTGCAGATTTCCATCCTGAGGCCGCAGCAAGGCAGCGAAGACTAGAGACTGCCATTTCAGGCTCAGGGTGGGTGCTTATAAAGAAAGTAGTCATTCACCGGCCCGCGCTGCTGTCGTTCCGTCCCACTGTCAGAAGCGGAAAAACCCTCATATTTCCAAAAAGAGAAACCCTCGCTGTTGTCACTTTCAACCCTGCTGGGTGTCGCAATAGTGTGTTGTAACTGATCTCCTCCCCCTTTTACCCTTGCAATTTCCCCAAAATTGAGCTCTCTATTTCCCCTACATGGTGTTCCTGGGAAGGAGAACGAGATGAAAACCAGATTCTCTCATTTGCATGACAGGTATTCTGAGCCTGCTGGCTGATTTTTCCCTCCCACAAAACAGATGAGAGCAGAAATGTCACCTTTTCATCAGAAGGCAAGTGATAGGGCCAGGTGGACAAAGGACAGTCTCACGTCATTGTTACTGTGTTCTTTGGAGAAGGGACAGTTGGCCAGACTCTGGATAAACATTATGTTCGGAACCAGATGGTAAATATTTGGTGTTTTGTGGACCATCCAGGCTCAACACAATACTCAGCTCAGCTGCCATGGTGCAGAGGCACCCACAAGCAATTTGTAACCTGGAAAACACAACTCTGCTCTAACAAACTGTATTTACAGAACATGGACAGGTCATGTGTAGCACAGAAGTTTGCTGACCCCTGCTCTAGAGAAATGAGTCCCTCCCGAGGGGTGCTTTAGAATCAGCCATCTTCCCCAATCCCACATCTGGAAACTTGGAGCCTTTTAGAGGTGATTTCATTCCCAAGTCGTGGTCTTGGAAAAGTAGATGAGGCACATGGACAGCAACAGGTCCAGACTCCTTCTCTGCCACTTGTCACTGCTGTCCATGTGACCCTGAAAAAGTCACTTCACTTATTTATGTCTCTGCCTCTTCATTCTCAGAATGAGGAGGACTGCATCTTCCTTGAAGGTAGAAAGAAAGAAGGAAGTTAAGTCTTGGTCCCAAGTGGACGTTAATAAACATTAACTTTTCTAGACAGCTGGGGAAAGGTGAGAACCTTCCTATTTTACATTATGAAAGGTGAAGAGAGTCCCTATGTGTTCCCTGAGGGAGACTGCTATCACAGGAATGTAGCTATAGCATTTTCAGAACTGGACTGGAGCATAGTGTTCGCCTTATCTCAGCCTCCCACAAAGAGACTCAGAAAGATTAGTAGAGGAAAGGGTCGTAGAGCTTGTTAATGACAAGATACCAAAAACCCAGTTCTTGAGACCAGGTCATCCTACCTCACCCATTGATCTTGATGCATTTGACCTTCTTTTCTTTTCTTTTTTTTTTTTTTTTGATTTTCAAGACAGGGTTTCTCTGGGTAGCCCTGGCTATCCTAGACCAGGCTGGCCTCGAACTCAGAGATCCACCTGCCTCTGTCTCCAGAGTGCTGGGATTAAAGGTGTGTACTATTACTGCTTGGTAGCATTTGACCTTATTTTCAACCTAAGAAAGCAGAGTGTGTCCAAAGGGAGAGATAAATCCTTTCATGGAGAGGCTACAGAACATACATCAAGTCTTTAAAGAGCTCTTCTTTTCCAACAAATGGAACATTTCTGCTACTATAACCCTGGATGATAGTTTTGAGAGTCAAAATGGCAAGTACACATCCTTCTTGAGTTCTTGTAGAGAGATGCTATCTACCCATGAGGGCCAAGGGGATGTTCTGTTTGCTCATTTCTTTGTTCATTTTGAAAATCTTCTGTGAAGCTGGCTGAAGGAGGGGGATGGGTATGAACTTGTCTAATTATTTACAACTTCCAGAAATTGCTGAATTAATTAAGCCTTGAAGTTTCTGGAAGGTTTATTAGTCACCAGGTGCATAACATTGTCATCACACCTGCTGAAAGGGGGAAGTAGCTGGTACCCAACTACCATACGCCCCTCATGCTTGTCTTAAGGTACTTCTGAAGTTGCCCCAGACTCTTTCATTATTTATTTGTACAAATGCTACGTCTTGAATATTAATAAAATTTACATTAAAACTCAGAAGCAGGCAGTAGGTTGATGGTTGCCAGAGGCAGGAGATGGATGGCAGGGAATGCATAAGGGGTAAAATATGCTGATAGTGCCAGGCGGTGGTGGTGCACGCCTTTAATCCCAGCACTTGGGAGGCAGAGGCAGGTGGATCTCTGTGAGTTCGAGGCCAGCCTGGTCTACAGAGCAAGATCCAGGACAGGCACCAAAACTACACAGAGAAACCCTGTCTCAAAAAACCAAAAAAAAAAAAAAAAAGAGAGAGAGAGAGAGAAAAGAAAAAGAAATCTGCTGATTGAGGGCCTCAGTTGCAAAGCAGGATTCCTAAGAGTAGAGATGGCTTTGTTCGACAGTCATCGGCCTCTCCAGAGAGGATAGTCTGCCTGGCCTTGGGCAAACAATTTCAGGAAGGAGTGACTGCTGTAGTGACACGTAGACTACTACACCTGGAACTGTTTCCTCGTTCCCAAGCTCCTCGCCCCACCCCTGTACACAGTGGCAGCTCCTTTTCCTCCTGGCAGACCCCCTCAAGTTCCTGAGGGAGAGAGGCTGCCCCTGTGCTAACAAACACAGTAGCATCGGTGGAAGGTCAGGCGCCTCTGTCCCTTCTGTCTCTACGCCTGCCTCAGAACTCTAACATCTGCCAAGCTGATGAGGTGAATGTGTTCTGGATATCTGGGGGCCACACGATAATAACAGTGGTACTTACTACACGTGGAAACGTGCTGTGAGTGACCGCTGAGCAGCCTCACCCCCTCTTCCCTTTAAAAGGAAAGGAAAAGAGAAGGAAAATAAGAGGAACAGGAGAGAGGGAGGGAAGGAAAAGGGAGGAGAACGGAGAAAGAGAATGGTGACCAGGACAGGAGGCAAATACGTCCATTAGCCAGATCGTGGTGACAATTTTGTAATATAGATCAAGATACTGAGCTTATGCCTTAAATGTATTCAACTTTTCATTAACTATGCATGCGTAGGAAAACAAAAACACCACAAGAGACACAAGACAATTTAACAAAACAGTAACAGTTCCCAAAATGCTGTGTGCTTGAAGTGAGGCACAAACATTTGAACACCACTGCCCTGTAAATATGGCTATATTTACAAATGCTGTGATTTCTATGTATAGTATACAAGAATGTCATTAAGCTATAAATGTTTTGTCAGTTTCTTGCTATGCAATTTTCTATATGTTCTTTTTTTCATTTCATTTTGAGGCTTTTATAGATCTTTTTTTGAAAACCCAAGCTTTTGGCAGCTACTAATATAGCAACCAATGAAAAATTGGGGACTTCTTAGTGAAAAAAATGTCCAAAAGAGCCAGTTTTTTAGCAAAGTGGTGAAGCTTTGTTAAAATGTCAAATCGGTATTATCTCAAACATCCTTGAAAATTGAGGAAGAGAAGTGATTTGCCAGGGTTAATGGAGAAGCCCCTTATTAGTCTTTGCCCTCAGACAGTGGTCCAAGCAAAATCCCACCCACATCACAGCTGCTGGGTAAATGTTTCTCTGACCTCGGCCCAAATTCGAACAGAAATAGATTATTTCTAGAGGTCTTAAACATTAGGCTCCCAGACCTCCAAGATCTGTGCCTTCTTCCCTGGACCACCCCACCTCCACCAAAGGCCTGCAGCACACCCTTTGCAAGTGTGCAGGGAAGGAGTCTGTGGGTAGACCCCGAGTCTCAATCCTCTCACATCCTTCTGAGCTGTGCTACCTCGGACAAGGTGCGCAGACTCTCTAGATCTCAGTTTCATTATCCATTAACTAATTTTAATAATGGAAGCCGCATCATGGATCGCTATGAGAATTAAATAAGACTCTCACTTGATGTACTTTACCCTGACCCTGGCTTGTGGGGATTACTCAAACAGCAGTGATTGCACACACTTCTCTACCTCAGGTAAAATGGGAGAGATGAGTCACAGCACCTGCCATCCGTACAACTCTGTCCCACATGTGCAAGCATGTGCAGGCATGTGCAGGCCCTCCGCTCCCTGTTCCTGAGCCGTGCTCCGTACCTTCTGTACTGAAGTTCCCGGATTTCCCGTGGTGATCCTAAGCACATCTCCCCACTAGATGGGGAAGAAGAGGAAGGAAAAGGTCCCTTTTCTTTCCTCACCTCCTGGCCTCCATCCCACTCAATTTTTTCTTTGGTGTTACTGTCGGTGTTCACGGCAATTCTGCTCACCGTCTGTCTCTGCCTAGCCTGGTTCTCAGTTTGGGGGCTCAGCCCAAACTCTACTTCCTGAACAAGCTTAAGGATGGCAACACGAACAGAACCTAGTGACTTTCCTCTGACCTCTGACTCTAGCCTTCAGTGTGCTGAGCCTTGTGCTTCTAGACATGGGTGACAAGAACTTCAAAGGGCTCTATTGAGGCAGGGAGATCGAAAACCCAAGCTACTGACATGTGGAGAGTGGCAATAGGCAGTAACAGGCTGCTTTAAGGACACAGTGGATATGAACAAAAGTGTTCTCACACATGGGCCAGGGGCCTTAAGAAGCCTTTGCATCAGGTTGTAAGGACAGACCACACTTGTCTTACGTTGAATCCTGTAATGTTTTAAACAGCACTGACCACATGGGAAGTCTCTGGTAACTCTTGGCAATTTCCCAATTTCAATTGATGATATCTTTGAGTTCTAGAACTTCCACCTGATTCCCTTTTTCTTTTTGTAGAGTTTATAGCTCTCTATCAAAAATTTTAATCTTGTCTTCCAAATATTTGGAAACATTATACCTAGGTCTATGTATTTGAGTGTGTGTGTGTGTGTGTGTGTGTGTGTGTGTGTGTGTGTGTGTGTAGGACAGAGATTGATGTTGGGTGTCCTCCTCCATCACTCTTCACTTTAGTTTTTTTTGAGGCATGGTCTCTCACTGAGCAGATTCAGGTATACAAATGAGCTCCAGAGACCTTCCTGCCTTCACCTACCCAGTGCTGCTATTGCAAGCTCACAAGGTGATGATGCCCAGTTTTAACATGGATAGTGGGGATCTGAACTCAGCTCCTCATGCTCGTGCAGCAAGCATTTTTTACCAACTGAGCCATCTTCTCATCCCTGCATGGGCCTTTTAAAGGCTGCCCCTGATAACTCCATCATTTGAATCCCTCCTAGGTCTCCTCCTAGTGCCTGCTTTTCTTTAATGCACAAACCACCTTGCATATATATATAATGGTTGGTTTAAGTGCCCCCAGAATGGTGCTGATGAGATATGGTAGACCCCGTACAGGCAAGA